CTCCATCCCCTGTAGTATTACTTTAAAAGGAACTATAATTTCTGGAAACGTTTCCTAGAGAGAACAGGGTAAATAGGAAGTGCTTCCATCTCTTCTCATCTGGCCTTGGTCCCATTGAAAGCAGCGCACTTGAAGCTGCTATAGTCATCCGGCCATCTTGACCATGAGATGAACTCATCCAGAGCCCTGACAGCCAGGTCATCGGCCATGCAGCTGACATTTTTAGGCCTGAGTGTGTTTTGAGAAGCACAATATAGGTGTTTTTAGGCAGGCACTTTTTTTTTTTACATTCTTAAGCATATTGACTGTGATGAATCTTCTCAGTGAAATTTACCTTACATGGTTATTGTTTTACATCCCAGCTCCTTTTTTTGTAAATAAAGATGTAAAATGCAGTTAAGAATTATACTAGTTTGGTAAAGTGGTAATAGTAGGTTCTCCTCTAAGATTCATGACCTCTCTAGCCCTATGTAATTGGCTAGGTTTCTAGAACCTTGCATAATTTTCTCTCCTATTGATAGGCTATAAGTCCTATTACAAGTGTTGGTTACAACCAAGATATGAGTGCCACTATTGCATCCTTAGTGCATTCTTGCCAGGCTGGTCATCCCTGTGGTGCATAGACATGATAACTGGGTAGGACAGCTGGTTGCTTCCCTCTCGTGGCAGCTTGCATATCACTTTCCTGTAAAGTGAGGTTTTCAGGACAGATCCAGCTTGGATCCTCCAAATTCTGTGTCCTTAGAACATGGTGTTTTCACCATGTGTTTCACCTCTGGGAGATTCACCTTTGGGAGGCATCCACAATAGCATGTTGTTTTGAGAGTCTCTTGGACTACCATGACCAACTACTTGAAAGGGAGTTTCTCATGCTTGTGCTGCTAGATAGTCTATGGCTATTGTGGGAATCCCTGTAGGTCAAATGACATAATTTCATTTAAACTATATATATATGTATATATATATATAATATGTATACTACATATGATACACTTACATGTATTATATGTCATTTTAGGTAAATAAAAAATCCCCAAGACTTTTCAAACAAAACCTAAATAAGGAGTTTGGGAGTGGTCCTTTTTTTTTTTTAATAATTTGAGAAGGATTGGATGTAGGTTGTCTTCTAAAGTCTGTTAGAAATTTCATGTGAATTCATCCAGGCTTGGGTCTTTTTAAATTGGATGGCTTTTTGTTAGTGTTCTAATCTCTTCATTTGTTTTGGGTCTGTGTAGGCTATTGATCTCTTCTTTTCCGTGTATAACCATGGGCAACACAGGGAGATAGGACTCTTGGTTCATTTCAGAAAGGAACATTTTTTTTTAATTCCACTGCTGTCTACTAGAGATGGGATTGCAAGCAGAGCTTGAGCCAACAGTATCTTTGTCCCCTTATCTGAGTTCTTTTTGGACTACATTCCTCCTAGGCCTCACCTTCCGCCTACAGTATTTTCACAGTCAAGGGCCACATCTGAGAAGGGAACCCCACATTATCTGGACTCCAGTGCTTTTTGGTTTAACTTTGGTGGTTTGAATGAATCTAGAAATTCATCCTACTTATTTTTCAGATTTCCCAACTTAACAGAGTATATATTTTTAAAACATCCCCTTCCAATATTCTGAATTTCTTTGGTGTTTGTTGTAATGTTTTCCTGTTCATTTCTGTTTCTGTTCATTTGAGTCCTTTCTTTCTTTCTGTTAGGTGGCAAATAGTCTGTAGATCTTGTTTATCTTATCAAAGAACCAGCTATTAGATTCACTGATTCTTTGTATTGTTTTCTTTGTTTCTATTAAATTAGTTTCTTGCTGTCAGATGTATTTGGATTTTTCTATTTCAAATTCTTGAGTTGCATCATTAAGTCATTTATCTGTGCTTTTTCTGATTTTTTTCAACTTAGGCACTCAGAAATAGAAATTTCCCTAATTGGACTACTTTTGATATGTTCCAAAGGTTTTGTTGTGTTTTCATTTTCATTTTGTTCCAGTAAGTTTTTTCCATGATTTCCTCTTTGTCCCACTCACCCATGAGCTTGTATAGTTTTTTTTTGCTGTCAATTTTATGTTAGGATATTTATGATCAGATAGGATACATGGAGTTACTTCAATTTTTAAAGACTTGTTTTGTGTCCCAGAATGTGATGTATTTTAGAGACATTTCTGTAAATTGCTGAGTAGAGTGTATGTTCTTTGGGTGGATATTGTAGATATCTTTTAAATACATGTGATGTATTATGTCATTTAATGCTGATATTCTTACTTATTGTTTTAGATGTCCTATTTAATGGAGAAAGTGGGGTATTGAAGTTACCTACTGTTAATGGGTTGGTGTTAATGTGTGTCTTTAATTTCAGTAGTATTATTTTTATAAAACTGGCTACACAGAGTTTGTGTGTATGTTATAAGCACTAAAATGTCTTCTTGGTTCATTGTTCCCTTGATTAGAAGAAAGTGTCCTTCTTTATCTTTTTAGTTTTAGTTTGAAGTCTATCTTGTTGGATATTAGGATAGCAGTGCCTGCTTGCTTCCTGGTACCATTTGATTGGAATAGTTTTTTCTAACCTTTCTCTTTAACATGGTGCCTATCTTTAAAGCTAAGACAGATTTTCTGTAGATAGCCCGTGTCTTTTTATTAGAGAATTGAGACCATTAATATTTAAAGTTATAAATGAAAGGTGTGTGTTGATTGCAGTCATTTTATTCCTGTTTGTGTTCTTGGTCATACTTTGTGTTTTAGAAATTATAACTTCATTTATTTTCTTTCTAGTCTAGTGGTTATGCTTATTCCCCTATTCAATTTGAAGTATTGCTTCCAGTATTCTTTTTAGTGTTTGTTTGCTATAAATGAATCCTTCTAGCCTGTTTGAATTATGGAAAGCTTTTCTTTCTTCTTCAACCACAGTTGACAATTTTTCTGGGTACAGTCATCTAGGTTGGCATTTGTGGGATTTCAGAACTTGGAGGACATTGCTCCAGGCTCTTTGACTCTCAAAGTTTCAGCTGTCATTTCAGTTGGTTTTATTTTATTTTTGACTTACGTTTTTTTTTTCTTCTTTCATACTCTTTCTTCTGTATATTTAGTATTTTAGTGATTGTAGATTGTGAGGAATTTCTTTTCTGGTCTTGTCTATTTTGAACTCCCTCTATATATTTCTTGTATCTGTATGAATATGTCTTTCCTTAGTTTGGGGAAGTCTTCTCTTATGATCTTGTTGAAGAGCTGGTCTAGGTTATTGACCTGGGATTCTTCTCTCTCATCTATGCTTATAATTTGAAGACTTAGTTTTTCATGGTGCTTCACAGTTTCTGCATGTTCTTTTCCTGTATTTAAAATTTTCAATATTCTTTGATTGTCTTGCATGGTCTAATTACTCTTAATCCTGATATTCTATTTTCTACTTGGTCCATTCGAGTTTTGAAACTCCACTTGAGTTTTCTAGTTGGGCTATTGAGCTTTTCCATAGTGTGTGTGTGTGTGTGTGTGTGTGTGTGTGTGTGTGTGTGTGTGTATAAAGAGAGAGAGACAGAGAGAGACAGAGTCAGAGAGACACAGAGAGACAGAGAGACAGAGAGAGACAAAGAGATAGAGATAGAGAGAGAGAGAGAGAGAGAGAGAGAGAGAGAGAGAGAGAGAGAGAGAGAGACTGAGATTCATTCCATAAGCTCTGTGACTCTAGAGAACCCTGACTAACACAGGTGTCTAGGTCAGATCCTGGGGGTTGTGGTGGGGTTTGGGCAGAGCCAACCAGGTTATGCTGGATGTGGGACCAGGGCTAGATCTAACAGTAGGGTAGGGTTTGGGGAGGGGAAAGTCAGATAGACTCACCAGGCTGAGCCCTAGTACAAGATGGGCCGAACGGTGCTGGACTGAGAGATTGGATGTGGTACCCAGGAGGGATGAAATCACCTTAGTTTTTGAGGTAGGGTTTCTTGCTGAAGCTTAGTGTTTGGGCTAGACTGACTGGCTAGTAAGTCACTGGAATCATGTCCAGTAATAGGTGATAACTGCCAACTACTATGTTTGGGGTCAGAATTCAGGTCCCAATGCGTGCCCAGCAAGCATTATACCCAGTAAACAATCTCTCCTACAACCTATATTTGAGGTTTAAAAAATACCCTTTTCTGTCCTTTGTACTGCCCTGCCAGCAGAATTCCTTTGTCCTTTCTAATATAGTCTCTGTCATATTGGTGGCGTCCCCCAGTGTCTGAGAGTGTTGGCGGTTTGTCTGTCAGTGTGTGATGTGCTCATATTTTGATGAGTAACTCAGCTTTTGACTGTGAATTCCCTGGAAGAGGCTCCAGTAGCGGCTATGTTTTCTTCCTAGACTTCTTATGCCAGGCCTTTCGTTTACGGGCATTTTATTAGAATTTAGTTCTTCATCCTCTTCCTGGAATAGAGTTGTGATAAATTTTTCTGGGTGTCCCTGCTGAGTACTCAGACCTCAGCCCAACCCCTGCTTTGAGTCAGTTGCCTCACTTGCATGCTTACTGGTGCCCAGAGTCCTTGTGGGCTGAATCTGGTTCAATTTCTGGAGAGATCAGTTATATCTCTTCGTAATGGTCAGTGCCCTGGATCTACTAGGCCTCATGTTGCTAAACCATCATGAATTATGTAACTAAACTTAGGGGATACAAATATTTTGACAGTAGTAAAAGGTTTCTGAACACACAATAACCAAAATATTAGTTCAAAATTAAATGTGAAATGAATCTGATATGTTTTTGGCACCGCCTGTAGGAGGAAACAGTATTCTGCCATTAACCATATGACTTATTAGAGGTGCATACAAATGAGGTAATAAAAGGGCGGTTTACCAGGCCCACTTTTGGGCATGGCTAGGGGCGTTACGGAGGAAGGTATAAAAGACTGAACAGTGGAAGTCTAGCTCTCTTTTTCCGGCTTTCGGCTTCCAGTTTGGCGGCAGAAAACTACTCGGCTCATCTGGGTTACTTGTTTGTCTCTTGTGAGTAATTTCTACAATAAATACTTACTTTTTCTTTCAGCAAGTGTGTCGTTCATCGCTGCAGCATCAACTGCCCACCATTGCTGCACTCTGCTACTTCCCCTTAGTTCTGAACTCACAAGAGGCCCACTCTGCAGTGCACATGGCCTGAAACACACCCACTCAGACTGGGACTATGGTATAGTATGAATTGAAGTGTTAACTGTGTTCATGAAACTTCTGCTCTTGTAAAGGAAGTATTCCTACTTTCTAGGGCCCAATCCCTGGATCTCCATCCTTACACATCCAGTTACTCTCCAGGTTCACAGGAGATTCTCAGAGTCCTTCCCATTTTTGTCTTTAAGTAGACAAATTATAAAGAAAAGACTTCTAATATTTTCCTACTATCACCCTCAGTGTATACATATCAAATTAGTACTTATTTGGATTGTATTAGAATGCTATTTGAGAGGCTGAAGAGAAGGTTCAATGGTTGAGAGCACTGGCTGCTCTTCCAGAGGACCCGGGCTCCTTTTCCAGCACCCACATGGTAGGTAGCTCACAACCATTTAACTCCAGTTCCAGGGCTTCTGATGCCTCCTTCTGGCCTCTGTGTAATTCCAGCAGGCATGCGGTGCACAGAAGTATGTGCAGGCACAATATCCACACATATAATAATAATAATACAATCGCTATCTGAGTTGCTGACTTGAGTTTCACTTCAAAAAGTCAAAAAGGGATTGGTTCCAAGTAGGAAAAGCTTAAGAAGCCGAACTCCTTCCAAACCTCCCCAGCTTCTCTTTCACCCAGTGGGGAAGACGGCCCTGCTCAGCTTCTTGCCCATGCTTGGGAACATTAGAATGGGCCTCGGCCTGATAAAATTCCATTTAAAGGTCCTCCAGCCAGTGCTGACCTAATTCCATGAGCGTATATCTCTCCCTGCTTTAGATCAGCAGAACTCCTTGTTCTGCTTGTACTTGTGTCAGTGACTCCAAGCATGCCTCCAGCTTCTGCTGGAGTAGGGCCAAGGGGAAAGTCTTCCATTGTAGTCATACTGCTCACACTAGCTACAAGACAGATCTGCTGGTCATGGAGGACCAAGGCATTGCAAGGTACTCTATCTAGTGCAGGAGCTCTTCTCTGGCTGTAAGTAAATGCTATACCACTTTAAGAGTGTTGTCCCCCTGTGTGCACTGGTGTCTTCCTTCGCAAGCACCACTAATCACTCTTGTTACTGCCTATAATGAAGAACTGTAAGAAAGAAGCAGAGCCATGAGATGGCTTAGGGAATGAAGGTGTTTATGTGTAAGTCTGGATGAGCTGGCTTCAAGTCATGGGACTCATGCAAAGCTGGAAGGTGAGACCTGATTCCACAAAGCTGTCCTCTGACCACCAAACGCCCACTGTAACATGTGTGTCCCTTCCCTCCATCACATACTCACACACACAAAAAATGAACTTTAAAAAAAGTGGACTGGCCAGGTGGTGGTGGTGGCTACCTTTAATTCCAGACCTCAGGAGGCAGAGGCAGGTGGTCTATATGAGTTCCAGGCCAGCCTGGTCTACACAGCTAGTTCCAGGACAGCCAAGGCTGTTAGACAGTGAAACTATGTCTTGAAAAATAAGAACAAAAAGCAAACAAACAAAAAACAAAACAAAAAAAGTTAAGAATGCTTGCTTCTCTTCCAGAGGACTGGAGTTGGTTCCTAGCATTTGTGTGTGTGTGTGTGTGTGTGTGTGTGTGTGTGTGTGTGTGTGTGTGTGTGACTTAAAACGACTAGTAACTCCAGCTTCAGGGCCTCTGACACCCTCTTCTGGACATCAAGGGCTCTGCATACCCATGAGCATAGTGAGCACACATGTACCTCCCACTCCCCCCCCACTACAAATATAAGCCTTAAAAAAAGTGAATTTAAAACTTAATTAAAAAAATAGAACTGAAAAGCTAATCTAACTTGTACTCAGCAAACTTCTGTGATTGCCTGTCTGTCCCACAGCTGAACAAAAAGTAATTCCCCTCCCCCAAATCCCAGGAAAGTCCTAGATACAAGACAACTGTATGGCTATTGCCAGCATGCCCTGGCCAGTGGACATATAGTACAAATGTAAGATCGTCATTCTATGTCATGAAGATACAGAGATACCATTGTGGCTTCAAAAACACCTCTAGTCATTTGCTCAGATATCAAAAAAGATTCTAGTCTGACCACAGTCATGATCCAAGCCAGAGCACAGGAGACAGGATTGTCACATGAAATAGATCTTCTGGTGGGATAAGATGAAAAATTTGAGGACCAAATAGGATTACAAACATTGTAAACCCTGCTTAACAAAAGCCATCCCAACACTAAGCGTCACTCCTGGGACAAAGGTCACTAGGTTGCAGCTTATGTTGGAAGACTGTCAACTTGTAGGGGACTGGCAACCACCCCACACCAGCTGCTCGTCAGCACATTTCCTGAGCGGATGTGATCTGGCTGAGGCTCTCATCAGGTCTTCTTACCTCATAATTGTGACAGTTCTTTCTTCAGGGCCTTCCTGTCATGGGACTTCATGGGACAGGAGAAAGTTGGACAGAACAATGGGACCTTAAGACGTCTCTGTCACACTAAGGATCCTTAACACCCCAGTGCAATGGGTGACAATATAGGATATGTCAAGTTTAGTCAAGTTGTGACTTCCTTCTGTTTGTCTGGTTGGGATGGAAAGGTTTGGCTCCAGCACCGGGAGGAGTGGATCCCTCAGAAATAGCAGACAAGAGTGTCTCCTGGAAAACTCATGGAGGCGGTGTGTGGGAACATTTCACTGTTGTGACAACACCCTGATAGGAACTAGCACAGCTGAAGGGAGGGTTTGTCATTCCAGAAATCCCTCTCATTCCACACTCCCATTGTTAGGGCTCTGTCTCTACATAATGACTTGGAATTTCCAAAGACAAACAGGACTCAGCAAACTTACTAGTCAGGGTGGCAAAGGACAGCAGAGTCACCCTAACTGTCCATTGGCAGAACGGGGGTGGGGGAGTGGGGAGGTGGGGGGAGCACTTGTGTTATGTGAACACCAGTGCACATCATTTGAGGACCAAAGAAACAGCTGGAAAAATGTCTGCTCAGGTGGGGTGTTAATCAGCTGTATACCTGGCAGCCCCTGGAAAACTTAGACAAAAACAGAAACAACAAAAAATTAAATTTGGTTTACTCCTCCAGGCAGTGGTGGCCCATGTCTTTAGTCCCAGCACTCCAGAGACAGAAGCAAGCAGATCTCTGTGAGTTTGAGGCCAGCCTGGTCTACAGAGTGAGTTCTAGGACAACCAGGGTAGAGAAACCTGTCTCAAAAAACAAAAACAAAACAAAAAGAAATTGGCGTATTCCAGACATTGGGGGTTCCTAGTTGAGTGAAGGTCTCTCTTGGTCTGGTTTTCCTGGTGATGCTGATTGGTTATCTCAAAACTAGAGGGAGGCTGTATCCAGAGAGGAGGCTAAGCAGGCTCTATCACAGCAAGCTGCCCTCCACATTTGGAGCTTAGTGTGATGCTGAATGTGATGTGTTGTGGTCTTTCAGTGAGAGCTAGACTGTAGTCACATTCCCCTACTGTGGGAATCACGAAAGAACGGGCCTCGGACTGGAATGCTTCTACAGCCTGTGCTGGGGGAATAGCTCTGCTTCAGACTCACGGTACTTGCAGCTCAAGTTCTAGTGTCTGGCTCTCAGCACGCCCCAGATCTTTCTCTTCCATTGTAATGAGGAGGGATGAAGAGAAAGTCTTCCAAGACAGCCTAAGTAGGGTGTTGGCAGTTGACCTCATCAGAACTGGTAGCATTGTAGATCTGATGGTCATGGGGTGGGCGTGGCTGAGGAATTGCAGGGGTTGAAAAACAATGTCACTTAAGCCTGATGTGTCTTGTTTATTTTGAGAGACCTTGAATCATGCACTGGCAGGCACTTATCTGCCTGCTGATCTTGGCCACACAGGCCAGCTACATGTGAAACAGACCCAATCTCTGTATCTTGTCCACTGTCCTAAGCAACTAATGCGATTTCTGATCTCCTTTGGAATTCCTTTCTGTGAGCTCTCATCATCTTGGGCTCTGCTATGTAACGTCATCCTCTCATCTCATGTTTTGATTCAAGATTACAGCAATTCAGTTTTTTTTCCCAACAAGCATGTCCTTAGCATCAGCCTCATTATCTGGCACATAGTAGGTATGAGGTATGCAGACTTTTTTGTGTGGTTATTTTTAAGGAATTGAACAGTAGCTTAGAGTCTGTTGCCATTCGGAGCCTATGGTTTTCAGAGGATTCCTTAACGAGGCAAAGGCTGAAAGTATAGAGGACTTTGCAATCAGGAGGAAGGTGGATACAGACGAAAGGACGGTGGGTGCCTCTGCCTGTCACACAAAGGAGGCTGTTCTGAGTGCCACACACTTCCATTGCTCTTCTTTGATTCCTCTGGATACCCAGCCCCATTTTCCACCAAGCTCTTACTTCCAGAAATAAATTACACCCTCTACACCCAGTCATTTTTGTGACCCACTTAATTATGTGTTATTTTTCAGGGTTGAGCAAGACTCAAGTCATCTGGGAGAAATGAAGGAAGCTCATCCATGTTCAAGACAAGCATATAAGCCAGATACGCTGCTTCATGTTAGAACCCTACCTTCAGAGGAAGCTGAAGTAAGAGGGTTGAACATGTTCAAAGTTTGAGGCCAGCTTGGACTACATAGGGAGATACTGTGTCAAAAAGCAAAATTCAGGTAAGATTTATCAGGGAGCTCTCTCCTGACCCAACCCCACCATTTAAACATATTCCTCCCTGAGCATGCTGCTTTTGCAGCCCTCAGTAGTTTGACATGTACTGGTTTTCAAAAATCAGTTTTTGATGATGCTCATTCACTAGACTTTAAGCTCCACAGGCCAGGGACCATGCCTGTCTCCTTGGCTGTTTCCCTAGCTCTAAGCACAATGCTAAGAACACAGGTGGCGTTCAGTGTTTATCTGAGGAATTAACAGGCAGGTGGTCAGGGTGCTTTAGCTTCCTGTGCTGATGACTCCTGGGTGCAGGGTCAACAGCTTTTACATACAGCTCCCCTTACTCTAAAGAACAAGAGTCTCAAAACAAAATAAGAAATAAAAAACAATTCAATTTCATGAGAACGCCTTTACTAAACTTGACTCATGATTGAACAAACTGACACCTGACATGAAATTAATTTATAAATCAATTTATTTACAGATTTCATCTTAAAGTACATTTTAGTTAACAAATCTATTTACACAGGTATACATGGGAATTCACCCCAGTTATTTTACAGAGTACTTACAAACCACACCCTTAGTCTTCTGTGCAGAGCTGCACGGGTGTGACTATTGGCAGACGATGGTCTGATGACCAGGCTATTTACACACACACAGTAAACGGGTTTATTTTTCATGTCTGCACAGTACAGTACACACAAGGAGGCTGAGCCCCCTAGAGAATGCTTTGCAATGTGTAACCAAGAAGGCTTTGCAAAGTCCAGAAGGAAAAGCTTTTAAACATAGGTTAATTAAAATGACAGTACCTCCTCTACATCAGTTTACATTTTTCTTCACATTTTTATAATACAAAGATTTTATTGAATTGCTGCACAACCAGTTTAAGATGATTTGTAAACATGTAAATTCCTACAATTTGCATTAAACATCATTGTAGTTTCTATCACTTGCTCTTTGAATTAATATTTTATTCACTAGTATTCTTAAGGTAGTAAAAGGAAGATGTAAGTTTGAATTTCTTGCAGAAAAGTTATGAGTCTCTAATGCTGTGCTACAGAAATTCTTTTGCAAGTACACACTTTATTCAAGTATTGCAAAAAGCTAAGGCCACTTTTTTTCAAGACAAGAAAGTGAACAAAATTGTTTTTGTCAATAGGCCACAACACTCTTATGAGCAATGCAATCTCTTTTGAAAGATAATTTCTCAGAGACCTGTAGTCACAGAAGGAATTCACCTTCCTTATTAACTACTTTTGAGCTCTTCCCACTTTTCCCTAGAGTAAAAATTCCTGTTTAGACCTGAAGAGGGAATCGGTACCCTGTACTTGTTTTGTTTAACCCAGAGTTAACTGCCCTGGATAGCACAAATTGTTTTGGACTCAGAAGTAAATCTGAAGCCTACATGGTGGTTTACTACTAGTTCTGATACTGCTATTCTAAACGGTATTACTGCTGATGCAAAGATCTTCTGGAGGAATTATGCAGGAAGACGGAAAGGGTAGGACATGGGAAAGGGAGCAAAGGTTAGAAAGAGGGATTATTAGGTTCTTGGTTATGAGGCAGGGCTTCATTAAAAAGATCCCAGTATGGAACGAGTGGCTGGGTATCCATATTTATCATTCCTGATCCTAACAATAAACCCATCTTGGTCAGATCCAAATAGTTACAATAGTAAGAAACCCGTTAACTTTAGAATCTTTTTGTTTTTTGCTACCAAACTGTAAATATGATTGCTAGCAAAGGGTGAGACTGGTCTATTCCTGTCTCTTTTCTGGAACGCAGGATTCTTGGATAGTGAAGACAGCTGGAGGAGGTTAGGATCGTCACTGCCAAGGTATGACAGTGTCCAGGTTATTGAGTATATGGACTTATATCAGTATGTTTTTCCTTTTCTAGCATTTTAATGTAAAGAGTAAAGATAAACTTTCTTATTAAAAATTAGGTCCAGATAATGAAAACATGGAAAACAACCTTATTCCTATTGTAATTTGATATTCATTTGTAAAAAAGTATAGCAGCTGTAAAGTTCAGTATCATAAAGACAATGTGATCCTACAAACAGTCAAGGGATGTACACAAGATGTTTCCTGTCTTCCAAAGAACACAAACTGAAGAGAAATATCTTTGCTTTCATTGGCCACATGAAAACACGATTTTCACACTACTGATAAATAACCCCAAGAAACCTTTGCTTCTCTTAGTCAGTTGCTCATTATGGCTAAAGACGACAGCTCAACAGCAAATGCACAGAGGAGATGCTGCTGAGACACCCACCTGAGCATTCAGAGACCCAATTGTAACAGTTCAGTGCTTTCCTATTGTCAAGAGCTAGCACACCAGTCACTGTGCAAAATGCAAATATCCCAATGATGATTTCAGCAAATCTCATGAATGACAGGATGAAACTGAAGAGCAATGAAGTGTGCATAGTGAAATATTTGAGACGCAAAGGCAAGTTTGGAAGATGCAGAAAAGAACAAACATGCACACTTAAGGGTTACGCTGTCTTTGGGTTTTCTAATGTGTTTTGAAGCTGTAATGTCCAAGGTATCTGTGAGTGTGAACCCAGTGGATGTCTTACCATGCTGCTCTGGTCGGAACTGTAAGGTTAAGGCATTTACATTCATGCCTAAGATCATCCACATTCTCCGGGATTACTTGAAGGACAGGACTGATGAAGAGAAACCAGTCTAGAAGGCAAGTGCTAAGGGCCCAGGGGAGCACCGTGTGCTCTAATATATAATATAGCAGCTGGAGTCTGGAGATTTTTCTCAGGTGCAGGTAGCAGATGTAAGATGCAATGCTGCAAGAGAGGCAGGACTAGACTTCACAGCGTCTTTCAAGTCCTCGCCTGCTCCTGCTGTCAAGGGTGACATTGTAAGTGCCTGTTGTCTTTTTCATGAACTGAACTGATTCTTCAGTGTGTGTATAGATTTATTAAAACTGCAGCTTTCTTTTCTGTGCGAAGACTAAACTGTAGAAGCTTCGAGACAGAGGTTTACTATTAGGACAATCTTTCACTTCTTAATAGGGACACACATCTTCAACTTAATAATTTATCTTAAAATAAATTAAATGTTCCATAGAGCAAAACAAGCACGCAGACTATAGACAATATCTTCTTGTCTTTGGTGCACACACTCATTTCCTAAATCATTCAAGTAACAGCATCTGACTTCTGGGGAGTTTGAAGGCCAAAATGAGTTCTTTCCACTTTTGCCTGGATGCCTGAGATGGTCCTGAGTATCTATGATTCTGAGAGCAGCTGGTAGAGGTTAGGGCAAGTGAGGAAAGAGCAGAGAGGGACAGGGACAGAGGAACCAGCCCATAGCAGTCCTGGAGGCTCATCTTCAGTGGGGCATTGGTTTTTCGCCCGGACAGGAAAATTAAACACAATGCAATGGGTTACAGTTTTTGAGGTGGTGCCCAAAAGGAAAGCTACCACTTATTTTTGATATCCACTCAGTGCTGCTCAACTTCAAGGATGGAAGAAACTGGTCTTCAAGAATAAATAAACTCCAGAATGTGAGTAGGCAGAAAATCTTGAATTTGCCTATTTTAGAAGTGGTTATGGGTTTAATACTGTTGAGAGACTACGATGTCCATTTATGACTTTCTTTATATAGACCATTATTATATTTTGAAAGTTAAAAGATAAACTTATTTACCTCTCTTTCCTGATGACTCATGGAGGTGATAGCCTTGTCTAAGCTCAGAGGTAAGTCTGGTGTTCTAGCCCTCATCTGAGACCTAGTAGGGGTGCTAATGAGGTGAATGATACCAAGTCTCAACATCAGGAGTGTAACCCTGCCCATAGGAAACAACTACGGAATCCAGTGGACAGTCTGGAAAGGCAAAGGCTGTAATACCAGATATCCCACATTGTCCCATGAACTCCAAACCAGCGGTCCAGAAGAACAGGTTCAAAGTCCAGAAGCATTCTTGCTATGGTGAAGACGGGTGTATATCAGGAGGCAGAAAGGCCCAGGACTCATGTTAGCACTCAGTGTTCGATTTATTTGCAAGATGTCACACAAGTAGCATTCTCCCCTGTTTTTCACTGATCTGATTGAGAACATCAATAGTGTCTTTGATCAAGGTCTCAAAGATGCCATCAGCCAGCTGCATCTTCACACACAACTCATCCTCATCATAGTTAACCCACTGTGCCTCCTCCTCATGGAGCTCCTGGACCTAGACGTTAGAAGGCAACAAGTTAGCAAATCTGTCACAGAAAAGCTGGGAAATTACATCTCCCATGTTATAGTCCCATCCACAATAATATGTTTCAAAGAAGTAATGTCAATACACCTTTAAAATTGGTATCTAAACTAAAAGTAGCTGTAAAACTACATTTCAACATGCTAGTATTCCAGCATTTTGTAGATAATAAGAGTTACAAGTCCACTGTCTATGTCAACATAAGGGAATGCATATAAAGCACATAGGAAGGAACCAACAATGCATGCATTGCAATGAAAAATTCTACTTATCCAACAAATGTTAGATACGATCCTAGATTATTCAAATCTGGAATAAGGTTTACTGCCTGCCTATAATTTTAAATTACTATACTTCAAAAACACACATAGTGGCTTCCTTACAATTACAGTGTAAGTGGGATGGAGGCCAAGTGGCCCGACCTTGTTCCAAACTCATCAAAATTAGCTACAGTTACAGTTCTAGCCTAACAACAACAACAACAACAACAACAAAAGCCAAGTGAAGGTTCCTGATTTGTCCTGGATTTTGTGTCATCAGGAGAGGCAGAGCAGGAGAAGAGGGAACTAGTTAGCCCTCGACTCCCCTATGAAGCAGTAACAGACTTGGCAGAGGCCAAGCATGGAGGTGAAGAGGAGAAGAGGAATGCATCCCAGGCTCACATGTGGTCGGGCTTGACACACCAGGAGGAAGCAGCGTTGGTCTTTCCTTGTGAAGGAAGGCTTGCAGGTTTTTATAAATATCTAACCCTCTGTTCCTTAATTTATGGTCCGTGGAATGGATGATATCATTGAAAAGGGTTCGCTCTCAGTGAATACAATGAACATAGCATATTAAAGAGAAGTTCACCCTTAAGCTAGTTTAATTCAGTTTCTTCTCTTTACTAGGCCATAGACTCCTGTCAACATAAAAGAAGTGATTTAACCTACCAAGGATCTGTAAGAAGGTCAACCTAATGCTGTGTGGTGCTGGGAGCAACCCTGTTCTGGGAAAGCTAACAAGTAGGTCTGCATAAGAGACTTCATATTCTCCCTTCACCTTTTTGTAAAGAAAGTCTCAGCCTTTAATATTGATATTAAATATTTCTCTGTCAAAAACAAAATTTTAGGGAATGCTTTACTATGGAAATCTTTTTATACTTGCAGCAGAAATAGTTCATGACAACATTCATGGTTTCAATGACTATTGTTCCTAGCACCAGTTACCAACAGTAATTATTGCTTTTTCCTTCAAAGGGCAGCAGACTGGAGCTCAGTAGGTACAGCACATGCCTAGCATACCACGAAGCCCCAAGTTCAGTCCCCAGTATCACAAATCAGGAATAATTTCTGTCTTAGAATCCACACATTTCCTTTTTCTCTGACTCTAAGATCAAAGTTCATCTTCGTACCTCAATGAGAACTATAGATCTGTCTCTGTTATTTCCTTCTAGTTTCCAGAGTTTATTCTATTTACACACATATCCCTGCAGATGTATGTGTACCTTTGTGTAAAATATATAAACAAATTTATTAAATTAGAATAAAAGCAGTCTAACAGTAAATCCCCACACACAAACTGGGTAGTTGTAGACTGGAATAGTTTTTTAAAACTGATATCAGACATGTGCAAGCTCATGCAAGTGTGCACACAGAGCAATGGTATAAGACTTCTGAATGTGTGCCGGGCGTTGGTGGCACATGCCTTTAATCCCAGCTCCAGAGGCAGGTGGATCTCTGAGAGTTCGAGGCCAGCCTGGTCTATAGAGTGAGCTCTTGGGGACAGCCCCCAAAGCCACTGGGAAACCCTGTCTCGAAAGACTAAAAAATTTTTTTTAATGTGCAATGATCAAAATTTAAATAAATACATAATGGATCAGAGGTGTTTCTGGTAATAGTCATGTTACGTCATTGCAGCCTTGGTTCAGAACACACATGTACACTGTTGTGACATCATGCCTGTTGCACCAGCAAAAGGTGTCCCAAACAGCTCAGTTTAGATTGATACTATTGTATGTTATGAGTTGTTTTTTGATCTTACAGAAAACATGATTAATTAAAGAAAACAGAACTTCAGTGTTTTCCTACAGTTAACTCCTCAGCATGTTAGTAACTCTTTGGACTACACTGTGATTTGTTGAATTTCATAAGAAAAATCATTAAATGAATTTTGGCTTGGGATTACAACAGAATTTCCAACATCTTCTGAAATGGTTCAAAATATACTTCTGCCATTTTGCACTATGGATTTATGCAAAGTGACATTCTTAGCATTGATGGCTATGAAATCAAAGTATCAATCAACTCTGGAAAATGTTGAAGATGTTCTGTCTTGTAGTGTAATATATTCAGCCAAGATTTGATTCTTTATGGGAAAATAAGCAAGCACATCTATCTCATTAGCATGCAAATGTGCTTTAATCAATGTTAAATTTATATCTGTACGCCAAAGAAAGATTTAAGATCTTTGATTTATTATCAGTAAATGTTTGATTGGTGTATGTATTTATAAGCCCGAGGCTGCATGAAGATTTCTCAAAGAGGGACTATACAAGGGGAAAGTCTGTGCCAAGGAAATGTGAAGAGTGTGTGGCCAGAGTCTCTCACAACTGACCTGTTCCCAGCATAGGCAGAGAAGTTGCACTGTGAGTAAGGACAGTTTTCCTAGAAGGGATCTCTGGCTTGTAAGACACTTTGTGCTTCCCCTATACTCTACTCTCTCCTTGATAAACCGTACTCTGCATGTTCTTCCACTAGGACTTTGTAATCTTCCAGTGATTAGCACAGTGTAAAGAAAATGTGTTTGGTCAATGTCTGGAATGAGTCTTTTTAATGACTGGAGAATGTTGGCTTTGCATATTCATGGTTTTGGGTTTTTTGAGATGGTAATCTTCCTGTTGAGATGACAGGAATGACCTACCATGACAAGCTCAGTTCGGGTTTTTCAAATAATGACTTAGATGGAGATAGGCATATCAATTGCAGTAATACAATCCTAGGAAATATAATAGATATTTATGAAGAAAGAACCAACAAATATGGTAATCTGTAATGATGGCCAAATTTCACAAAACTAAAGGCTTGTAATAGGATTGGGGGATGGGAGGACCTGGGAGGGACTTCATAATGTGATTCTTGCTACTCGAACAACTCAAAAGTGCCTGGAAGGTATCCTGGGCTCATTTCTTTGCATCCAGCCTTAGAGGCTAAAGGGGGAAGGAGATGAGGAGGGGAGCCCATCCACAGATTCTAACTGGCTTTGAGGTGAACATTTACAATATAACCTCTGTCTGGCCTCTCCTGGTTCTCTGCTGAGGGCTTTATATTGCTGGTAACTCTTGCCTTCACTTCTTCACATTTCTTTCCAGGCTCCAGGCAAAAACTTGACTTCCTTTTCTCCCTACTGGCTATTTTATTAATAGAACTATCAATGTACTTTTGGGGTCCCCTGGGTAGGCCTACCAGATAAGTGCCTCAGCTGCCATGTCTAATGACTGTGACCCAGCAGTAGAAGTCAGATTTGGTTGTCACTCCATCCTCCTAAATGGCAGTTATGGTTACTTTGGAGGGGAGAGCAACACTGGACAGGCAGGTACCCGAGAGTAGGAGTCCAGAAATTGCCAGGAAGGGGTGCTGGTTTCTCAGCTCCACCCAAACATGCACCCGATTGTAGGCTACACATTGAGTGGGAACTAAAACTCTAGTCCAAGGCCTTAACCCACTCTGTGAACAGCTTTGAGGCCGGATCTCTAGGTCACGTTAGCAGTGGGTTATGTGGGTTATACCTATCTGTTCTCTAGTTTCAGCCCATCTCCTAAATGAGTGGGGAATGTAATAGCAAAGAATGAAATCTACCTCTATGTGGAGATACACCTCAACTCTCCTCCCTTAAGTTCACTTGGCCAGGGAGGTCAAGGACTTGCAAGGCTAACAGACCATCCCAAGGAAGGCAATCACCCTAAGATCATTTTCTTTTCTTTTCCTTCCTAGAATCCCTACCCCCTAGTTCAGTTTAGGCCAGCTACCATGAAGTTTGGTTGGGCCTTCCTCAGTCCTGGGGCTGACCTCCAAGCAGCCTTATCTCAAACAGCAATTTTTCCCTCTTCTCCATATTCCTCCCCTAGGACGCTGTGAGGATTACAGGTTGCCTGCCCTGGGGGTGTGAATTCAGTGCTAGGGGAGATAAAGAGAGGTGAGTCCCAGGCAGGAGCTAGATGGATAGTCAGTTCAATCAATCAGTGAGCTCCAGGTTCAATTCAATGAGACTCTTTCAAAAAGTAAGATGGGTAGCAATGGGTAGCAACAGAGAAAGACAGCTGATGTCAGCCTCTGACCTCCACATGTATGGTTGAAAGCATCTGTATACTAGCATACATACACCACCAGATACAAGTTTGAGTTTTGGACTGGGGTTTCACTAAGCTCTGTGACACAATGACCAATGGAACAGGATACACAACAGGGAAAGGATAGTCTCTTCAATAAACGGTGCTAGGAATACTAGATATGCATATACAGGAGGACGAAATTGGATCCTCATCTCATACTATATACAAGGATGGATTAAAGACTTAAACATAAGATCTGAAACTATTATACTAGAAGGAAATGGGAAAATGTGACAGTGGAGTGGAAATCTTTTTGTGGGATCAAGTCAAACAAAGTTACACAACAAAGTGGGGACAGCACACAAATAGGAGAAAATATTTGCACAGACTCAGTCTGGTAGGGGAGTAACCCCATAAGTTCAAACAACTCACAGCAAAAAAACCAACCCAACTTTTAAAGTGGGCAAAGGCCAGGTATGCTGGGCTAAGAAAGCAGGATCATAATGCCAGCTAAAAAAGGATCTGAACAAGAGCATGAGAAAATGCATCAGCAGAGGGTAAACACTCAGTCCAGTGAGATGTCTGGTGGTTGGAAAGCTGAAAGGGCTGGAATCTTGCACATTGCTGGTGGGAGTGTAAATTGCTACAGCCATCTAAACACATGGAAGTACCTCAAAAAAATGAAAAACCATAATATCCTCCTTCATCCAAAGAAACTGAAGTTGTTAGTGGGATTTTTGCATTCCCATGATAGCCAAGATATGAAATTAACAGAAGTGTCCATCGTGGATGAGTAGACAAAATGTGACATGAGAATACATTACAACCTATTTGTAATAAAGCAAATGAACCTAGATTTGGTGAAATAAGCCTAACGCAGAAAGAAAATATATGATCTTATTTATATGTGATCACATTCCTGCATTACACATGGAGAAAGTCAAATGTTGGTCAAATAAATGGTCATGTCAGACAGGAGAAGTACACTTTGAGATCAATAGGATGACATTAATTATCTCAATTTATTCATTCCCCATTGTAAACATAGATCAAACATTAAGTTTCACTTAGGGGTCAGTCAACCCCATTGTGTGGATTTCATATCCTATACACTCTGAATACTGTACTCTTTACATCTTCTCTACCGAATCCTGCCTGTTAGCATCCCAGTCCTGAATTTCTCTCAAATTAACAGTTGTTCTAATTTACTACCTCCTTCCTCCTTTATTTGCCTTGGACTCTTGCTTGGCCTTTAGGCTCTCCACCTGTGGGAATGGTGATGTAACTCAGAGAAAGGGTGCTGGAGTTTCACATTTTTGGTCCAGTGATGCCAAAAACCTGACTCTCTTTTATATGGAGAGAGCTAACTTAATACCTCCACCTATGTATGAGACACCTCAAATTTAACAAGTTGAAATAGAACCTATTTTCTCTCACCCTTTTGAGCTATAATAGTCAAATGTTGTACTTAAAAAAGTTGAAGGGCTGTAGAGATAATGGTTCAGCAGTTAGGCGTACTGGCTGCACTTCCAGGGGGCCTGGGTTCAATTCCCAGCACCCACATGGCAGTTGACTGTCTATAATTCCAATTCCCAGAGATCTGACATCCTTCCACAGACACAATAATGCACAGAAAAAAATCATTTTAAAAAGGGAAAGGTTGAACTCCTGAACTAACTGGAGGCCTGTGAGATG